CCCCAAAACCCCAAAACCCCAAAACCCCAAAACCCCGAGGGAATATGCGGGGGTTGAATTATTTTGAAGCAAATAAATTGGAAAGAGAGTGCTGGCAGGAGCTATGATGTGGAGGGATTTTATTGGAATCGAAGGGGTTTTGGGGTTTTGGGGTTTTGGGGGGTTTTAATTGGGGAATGTTAGGTTATGGTGGGTTTTTAGCGATTTTAGAGGTTTAAATGGTTGGATTTTTTTGTATTTTTTAATAATTTTTTTGGTCACCAAAAAGAAAAGTTGTGACAAATTTTGGATGAAATTGTCTGAATCAACTCTCTTCAGAGAAGCCTTTAAAGAAATATAATTATGTGGCTTAATTTTCATGACATAGACACATCAAGGCATAAAGTTGAGGTTAATATTCTTCCAAAAAATTGATTTAGGATGGGGTATAGTAACCTTGTTTTCCAAAGCTTTTTGTCTTATAATACAAAAGATGGTTTATTCTCAAATTACTAAGCATTGAAATCATAGGCTTTCTAAATGAACTGAATGCTTTCTTGATGTTTTTACAAAGAAGGAACTTTGAGTTGTCTAGTCTCTAGAATATTTTATCACTTAATTAGCATATTTCTAAAATTTCCGAACTGTTTGAAACGATTGGGGATACTTGAAACCTCCAAATTATCAGGTAATGGCTTACTCTTTTATCATACTTAAGCCCTACAAAATTTACATCTAGAATTTTTAGAAGAATCTTTATCATAAAAATTCTGAATTATTGTTGACACCAGGAGTATTCTTGAAGGTTTCAAATAGGGAGCCATAAAATCAGCTACAACAAATTCTATAATATTTGGAGGAAAGAGGCCTAGATAACTTCGAAATAATTTGGAAGCTAAAGAGCTATAAAAATCTTTAGCCAAACAATCATTAGAAACACTAATGGCCTGCCTGTTTCAATACGTCAAAAATCAACAACAGAATGAAGACTAGGCTTTAATTAAGGTCTCACAGATAACTAAGCAATTGAGCTATTCCAATAACAATGATTTTAAAGCCAATAATTTCACTGTACTAAAGAGTTATGTGCTTGTTGGTGATATCAAAGACTTCTCCATATTTCAGCTCAGGATTTGCTGAAAAAATGGTTCATGAATCACAGAATGTTATTAATTCTAACATGGCTTAAAACAGATATTAAGTAAAAAGGAGGTATTTTAAGTGAAAAATTTAGAATACTTTATTTCGAATAACTTTTATTTCTTAATATTTAGCTAAAATGGAGTCTAAAACTTGCACGTACCTTCATTGAGATGGTAGTAATTTAGGTTTACCTTAGAAAGCTATTTTAGTTGACAAACCTTATTGATTCAGCAGTGTATAAAATTTAGAAATAAATTATTAACCTCTTCAGCCTTTTAATTTATAATGAAATGAGTTCATCTCTTAATTTTTCAAATTAGTATAAGCAAGTCAGATTCAAAAATTTTAACAAGTTATAAACCCTTATTTTTTTCAATGTTAAGTTCTTGAAAATTCAATTATCACGAATTCATACTATTCCCTTATTGTTATTATTTCTTTATCAAAAACTATTTCTTCACTGAATAATCCTTTTTTTTTCCACAAACTCAGACTTCCAACCTATTCTCTAATCCACCCACCCAAACTATCCAAGCCTCAAATTATTCCAAACCCTACCCTCCCAACCTTCCCCACCCAAACACCCTCACCTCATCCCCTCAAACTCCTCTGACCCTCTCCCCACTATCCCCCAAAATCCTATCCTTAACCTCCTCACTCTCCTAAATTCCCCAAATATCTCTCCTCTCACCGCCACTGCTAGTCTTCACCCTTCACTCTTCACACGGCTAAATAAGTTAACCACTCTGCCAATTTAGCTTACCTTATAAGTAAATGTACAGTAAAGAGTCACCAAGTTTGGAGATGTTAGTAATGGGTAATGCCGAAGTGAGATCAGAGAGAGATTTAGGATAAGGACAGGCTGAGGTCTTTGGGAGGTAGTCAAGATTTGGGTGAGGGATTTTGGAGAAGAATTAATAAGTTAGTTATTAATTAGAGATTAAAGCATTTAGATTCAGAAGTTGTCACGTTGTTGAGAATTGGAAGCTTATCAGTATATCTTTTTTTAGAATCACCAATTCTTGTAGCTCCTTTTTGTTGGGTTTTGTGAGTGAGCTTGCAGTTTATGATGAGGTTTGCTTTGTTTCTGAGCATATTTGGGGACAAGAAACGTCCTCTTTTAAAATTGGACAGCTTGTTGCGTACTTTTAAGATGAAATTTTGATATCCTTCATTTACTTTTTTGCGCCTCTGAGCCTTTTCAGAGTCAGTCTCCTGATGAATTGTAGATACAGTAGAGTTGAATTGAATTTGAAATCGAGGACTTGATGGCCTGATCTTTCTAATAACTTCTGGACTAAATGCTTTTATCTTATTGTGTATCTAAATGGTTTAAGTTAAGAATTTATAAAAGTGTTATCAAAGTCTCAACAGATGAAACATGAAGTTATTAAGCTTAATAAATTTGTACCTCTCGCTTTCTGATAGTTTGGATCATTTGGTTTTGCACTCCTAAAGGAATCTCGTTTCTCCTTCTAGTGTTTGACCTTCTCATTCCCATCTTCTTGATAGCTATAGAGTTGTATAGAGCTCTATAAGACTCGATAGCTAAAGTCATGTTAGTATTTTTCATATATATTGTTATTAGCCTTCCGCATAAATTTTTAAATGGGGTTTTGGGGTTTTGGGGTTTTGGGGTTTTGGGG